TCCTGATTAAGGAAAAGCAATAACACCCTTGTTCTACACCACCGAAACAAAGTTATGAGAAGGTGTACAATTTTGTATGCTTTTTTAAGAAATGGAAGATCTTCCAAGCAAGGCTCAAGAAAGAGAATCACACGATAAGTCAGTGTTGGAAACGCAGACTGAAAAATCAAGTGCAGACTTTGCATTATCACAAATAATAGATGGTGAACCGTATGCTCAAGTTTAGTGACATGCACTTCAGCTGTGCAGAGTTACTCTTGTTAGACTATTGTAACATGAAAGGGAAGGTTCACATGGCGCAGCAAGATGGTACAGATAGATGCATGCACCACACAGCCATTCATTTGTCCTTTCCTCACTGGGAATTAAACTGAGGAGTACAAATGCTCTTCCAAGGTTTGAAAAGCATCTGCAAAAGTTAGAAAGACCTAGGGAAAAAAAACCAAAAACACAAAGCAGCTTATTTGTTCATCCATCATATTTTCCAGGCAACTGTTCTCTTGAGGAACATGCAAACGAATAGCCAAGAGTGAGTGGCAGAAAAGATACATGTACATGAATTCCTTCAAGCAAGGCACGTCTTGGAGCTACTTTCATGTTCCTTCCTGATGCTGGCAAGGGTGGGGCAGAAGTCTGGGAAGAAATCAGTTGGCCTGGGAAGGCATGGGCCCTACATAAGAAAACAAAAATTCCTGGAGGTATGCCTGGTTCAGCCATTGCAAGTGTCCTCAGAGATCAAGCACTACTATCATGTTCACTTGATGGCTCTTAAACTACATTAAACTGTCCAAAGGCACCCAACCAAATGTCACAGTAAAAGAAAAATCAATTGATTACATGCCCAGGCAATACTTATCATGGGCTGTAATTATTTTGGATAAAGACGTACAAGGAAGTTTTTTTAAAAGAATGCCCCGAAGGTAACAAGCAATTAGTGAGATATTTTAAAAAAGCAACCACAACACCCTGGCTTAAGGCAGCCATTGCAAAAAAATCCCAATAATCTGATCTCTAACAAAGGAGGGCCTGTCAGGTCAGCAACCCAGAACTGAGGTAAGGGTTTCATATAACAATACTGCTTGACGTGGTATTCATTTTCAACCCACAGTGGTAAAAGTTCAACCTAACAGCAGCTGTCAAATACCTTTGGCTAATCCCCCGTAGCTGCTGTGATACAATTTTGGTGGTGTAAGACATGGCATCACCTGACCCCAACAAGGCCACAGCACTGTTAACACTTTGCCTTTGGGAGGCACACGAGAGGGTCAGAGTGGCTACAAATTTCCCTTTAGATATTTCGGAGAAAGACCTCCTCACGCTACAGACCACAGCTCTGCTGTGCTCCGTGCCACAGTAGTGCAGAAATGTGTTTCTTTCCAAATCATTAAAGCCTGGCACTTCAGAGCTGGGCTCGAGGGAAAATGTCCCTGGCTCTCTGTTCCTTCCCTCCTGTATTTCGAAATATAGATGCTAAGCTTCAGTGCACCTTCCTGCTGGATTTTCAAACAACTTGCTGTTTTACAGGCTTCAGGATATTATAAATATTGGCTTTTTTTTTTTTTTTTTTTTTTTTTTTTTTCCCTCTGAGCTGTTCAGGGCATTTTTAATGCTCGGGCTGTGCAATGTGCTGTGAGTAGCAGGATGGAAAGAGCCAGGTTAATGAATCTCACATCCCAGCAAACCCCAAACACAGACCTCTCCACAGGAATAGAACATTGCCTAAGGGTTAGAGAAGGCTACTGGGACATCTCTCCCCATCAGCCTCGGACCTCTACTTTGTTCTTATCTAAATACTACATGTGCTAATGCCTTCTGTGTGAAGCAGGCTACACGGTGCTCAATAGAACTTGATGTTTTGATGTCCATTTGCGTGCAGACAGAGGGTGGCCCAACATGTTGTCCAAGCAGACCTGAAGCCAACAGTCAACATCATCCTGATATGAAGCAACTTGCAAGAAAAAAAAGTAAAAAGCCTGAGACCAGTGCTGTAGGTGGCCAGCATAAGGTGTCTTGTCGTCCTGCATGTAGGCAGGTAAACTTCATAAAGCACCTGTACATGAGCAGAAACTGTGATTCCATCCTGATATTTTTTACCATAAATTCTATTAAGCTCCACTTTATTCATCATCTGCACCTGCAAAGGCTTTCCTGTGTCATCTCAGATTAATTCCCCTTGAGTCCTCCTTAATGAGACATTCCACATATCCTAAATTCAGGATGTGAAATGAATGGAAAGCGGGGATGAGAAATGCCCTCTCTCATCACGGCGCTGTCAATGTCCTGAGCCTATGCCACCTTTCAGGGGGAAATACAGACAAAGCTGAAGGATGTGGCCAGCAGTCTCTGCATGTCTAGACGATCTGCATAGTTTTCCTCATCCAGACAGGCAAGTCTGAGACACTCAAGGCAAAACACTTTGGGGTGAGCTCTGAATCCTTTCAGTAGCTCTTCAAGTCTCACCTTAACCTCAGCCGCCTTCTCTTTGTATTTATTGGGCTTGAACCCTTAGTTAATGGAAACTTCTGAGATTGCATTTGGCATTGAGGACAACCCATATGGGCAAAGCACCAGAGAATGAAGCGTTTCCTAACTCCATTTCAGGGCAATTTATCTGGGAAATACTGGCAGCACTTTTTCAACTGTGATTGGGCTTATTTTACACCCCAGAACAACCAATATTCTTTCTCTTAGCTGTGTTTGTTATTTAACTCTACAGACTTCTCCATATATTTGCTGTTCTTACTTTGAATTAATAATGATAATAATAATAGTTTTAATAAAAATAAGAAAAAAAACCAACTCCTTTTTTCTAAGGTACACAGCATTGTTCCACTTGATTGGCTATAACAAACTCAACTCCTTTGAAAGTAATGGAATTACATTGCCAGCACAGTTCACTGGTCTGCCTCATTTTGGATAATTCATCTCTCTTAATGTCTCAGCCACACTGAAGCACAGCATCACTTGCTAAGCTGTGGGAGCTCAGCATTGCAACCCAGCAGTCTCAAATCTCAGCCATGCCCTGAAAGGACCAAATGTGCTCAAATTGGTTTAATAAGAGCAAGGACTCACTCTGACCATGTGATCCAAGTATTTCATTCAGAATAAAGAGGAATGCAGTGGTTTATTCAGCCAAAAGTTACATAAGGTATAGAAAAGCACCTGTTTAAAAATCCAAGTGAAAATTCACCAAGTCCACCTTCCTGTATCAGAGTTCAGGATTTATATCACAGAGTTCACAACCAGATACCACTAAATGGGGCTAACTTCTATACTTGCACGAAACAGCCCAATATCTGTATCTGCTGATAAAAAGCATCAGTTCAGAGAATTTCAATTTTTAACGGGGATACTGCTCTAACACAGAGCACTGAGAAATTCATCAGGCTGCCAGCTAGCTGGGGATGTCCTCTGCCACGTCTAACACAGTGTGTTTGCATTAGGAAAGAAGTCATATTTAGCACACTACAATTTACCTGCATGATTAACCACTGACGGTGTTTTGGATGTCTAATGAGATTACATTGGGTTTATGTACAATTTCCTAAGTAGGTTGACTGATAGATTGATCAAGGGTAGATGGGATCTGACAGCAGAATATTATGGCAGAATTCTTCTGGTGATGGATGAGCCCACCTTGACACAAACTCCAAAGCTTCGCCTCTTAGTAATAAATCTCAGCGTGAAGTCATCTGTCTCTGACCTGAAGCTTGAAATCAACAACTCAGGATACTGAAGTTTCATCCTCTTTATGAACATTTAAGTTGCCTCAATGGCATAAATACACACCTCCCACGTTCAATCTCTTTTAATAGTGGCAGGCCTTATGTTGATTTTATTTTTTTGTTTTACAAAAGGTGGGGAATCACAACTGATTCTTTCTCCAGCCAAGGAGATCACTGCTAATAGATGACATTCTGTATGATGCTTAATGAGCCGTGATTGGGATAGGTGATGGGAGATGGCACTTTGGATTGATTTAGAAAGGATTCAGTAGAGGCAGTGCACAACTCCACAAATAGCAGCAGGTCTTACACGGTGCCATGGAATTATATAACAGGAACCTCAAGTAAAACCTTCAAAATGCCTTGCTGACTTGGGAGTTTAACTCCCATTTTCAAAGGCTATTCAAAGCAAGATTCTGTAAAGTACAGCTAGTGTAGCAGAAATGCTGAGTCACGTCCTGATTGAGCAGTGATTGAGCACCTGGTGGGAAGGCAGGGCCAACCCAGTGGAGCTCAGGTGCACGCATGATGGAGCGACCGGAAGGGATGGAGCCAGGATCCACCCCTTCCCAGACCTCATTTAAGAGTTGGCAGGGGAGGTAGTGGTATTTTTTTTTGGAGATTTCTGCCTACCTGAGGCCTTTTGAGGGTAAGAAGCTTTTTTTCTTTCATTTCTGTATGCACAGCTGCTGCATTTGGGCTCATCCTCGTTTGCTGTAGCCAGACTTTGCTACTCTGCTATTGTAATTGTATTTTCCATTAGAGGGCTTTTTCAAAACAACAGTGTGAGTAACTATCAGCAGGAGATTATCAGGCTTAAAAAACAAAGTAAAAATTTTCCTGAAGCCCAATTGCAAGATGCCCTGTGTACCCATGAACTGAAAATTTGTAATATAGCTTTCCTTGTTTCTAGGCTGTAGTATGCACAGAACATAGGATGGTTCACTGTGATGTTCATACCATTCAGAATTAGTAATCTAATTTGCCCAGGACTTGATCCCAGGCAGCTGAAAATAGTGCTGCCCTATTTTTTTCAAGAGGTTTAAGCACCTAATTCTTATGAATTTCAGTGAGATCCATATGCATGGGTCCTCAGATCATATTTACTTCCACTTGTAAAAATGTGAGGTTGTATAATAGAAGCTCTCTAAGCCCTGTGTTAGCAGACATTCTGGGTACCCACTGCAGCTCACTGAGTTAATTAATGCGTTTAAGTGACCTACTGTAATGTCTTCATCTGTCAGAACCTGGAGACAGGGTAGCTAAGAGACCATTTTGGAGTATTCTGAGATCACAGCAATCTGATGTTTAAGGAGGTTAATGTAATACTCACAGGGGCCTGATGGAAGAGTTCACAAAACAGATGAACCCACCTGAATTCTGAGAGTTTGAGCAGGCGGATTCTTAACCCGTATTCAGTACAGTGTTTCTCTTCTTTAAATTAAAGGGAGGAGATTACCAGGAGGTAACTATAATAGACAGCTCTTTTCTGACTAATGTTCTTGTCTGCATCTTCTGGGTTTAGGATGGCTGATAACATAACGATGTCATGGCCAATGAGAAAAATCAACTTGGAGGACAAAACTCACCTCCTCACTAACTCCAGTAGACGTAAGTGCACCCTGAGATCCCTGAGATTTTTATTCTTGCTAATATCGAAGTCTATAAACTGACATAGCTGTATTATTGTCAACCCCTGTAGTGAGGCTGGGAAAGTAGGAATAACAGTTGAGATAGCCCCGTGTAAATAATTCATAGGGAAGAATTTATTTGATGAATTGACTTTTTTTTTTTTTTTTCCCTTGTCCGTGGCCCTATCCACAAGCAGCCTCTGATTTTTCTCTCTTCCATTGTTACTCAAATTGAAAATATCTGCTGAATAATTTCTGAGGATAATTCTTGTTCTGCAAATTTGTCCCTGTGCAGTTTGCTGTGAACATTTGGTATCTGAAATTCCAGCACTCACCAGACCCACAGATCTCACGTTGTTATTCCCTTTTTTGCATAAAGGAGACATATATTTGAAACAGTACATTTTCCACTCTAACTATTGGCAGTTAGGAGTCCTTTAATGTAACGTTAAGCTCAGCAAGGTGTGTATTTGATTATAAGACCTCAGTACTGATTTGTGTGAGATAAATATATAAGGGAAGGAAATTAGGGTTTTCTTCAGGGGTTTTCTTATCAACCTGCAGGTGCCTCCTACTTGGATCTTAGCTGCCCAATAAGAACTCAAGAAAGCCATGAGTCAGTGGGAACAAATTCTGGTTTAAAGTGGAACAAGCCAAACTCTGTTACCCTCCTCAGCAACCCTGGGCTGAGTAGAATCTCCACCTCACCTGCAGCCAGCCCATGTCTTCATGACTTGCCCAGCCTGCTGAGCCCAATGCAGAAATAATACTCAACTTGATGTCTTCAGTAATATAAAATCATTATTTATTTTACAACTCCCACTGTGGTTTCTGAATGCTTCAGTGCTGAGCAGCTCCTCAATTCCCTCTGAGGCACAATCGTTTGTTTACCTGCTCCACTCATTTCATTCCGCACTTGTGTATGGCAACTACAAGATGGCATGTCAACTTTCAGAATCTGGGGGAAAAAAGGGAGTGAGACAGTTAAAAGTTTCAGCCCTAAAAGCTTTTGACACATCTTTCTGTCCATGTAATCAATCTTCTAAGTTTCCAGGAGCAGCTGAGATTTTTTTTTTTTAAAACAGCTGTAATCTGTGGTCATTGATGGTGGGGTAGATTGTTTGCCAAACTATTACCATAACTGTCAACCGAAATCAGAAAAATAATCTCATTGTGCTGGACAGATGCCTTTCCTGCATTATTGATATAGTCGCTGCGGAGTAATAGAGAAATATAAAGCATTGTTCTATTTACAAAAGGAGATTGGCCAAGTCCTTGAGAGTGAGCAGGAGGGACAGGCACTTAAAGGAAGTGAGATATAGTCAACTCAGTAAAAGTTATGTGTCAGGGTCATGTGGCCTCCATAGTCAGCAGTAGAATCTCGGTTTTCAATAGCTTTTCCTCTCCTTTCTCACTTTCAGATTTAGCTCCATAGCTTAATCTCTGACTAAATGAGCTTACTAGTGCTTCAGTGCAGCACCGTGGAATTCACACAGCTTTTCCCCCTTGTCTCTGGCTGCCCCAAATGCATCTCAGGGACTGCCATATTACCAGAAAATGCACAAAACAGTGCGTTCCCAATGCTCGACTTCACAGTGAGGATAAGCGAGTCAGCACTGCCCATTAGAGTACAATACAGGAGAATTTTTGCTTGCTTGCCATCAAGATACCTCTGAAGACACTTTGCAAAGCAATGAACTAAATATGAGCATTGCAGCAAATCCTTAGGCAGATGGAGCAACCAGCCTGCATTTAGCCACAGCGCCCACAGAGTCTTTTGCTGTTACAAATGTTTGTATATAGAGAGGGGCCCGATTTTGCTTGGGAATCTGCTACAGTGAACCCATAACCCCGAGTTCCCCATTTATAGCACAAATGAATAAATATCTATATATTGAGAGGACTGGAGGTGGTACTGGAGCTTCTATTTTCATCTGAACAGCAAGCAGGGGTCAAGTAGAGTGAAAGTCCCGTGATCAGCTGAGGACAGGCTATGGGAGGTGGATGGTTTCATGTCGCCTTTTGTTTTTCTTAAAGTTTTATTTTATTTTAAAATTACCTCACATTTCACTGCAGAGAAAAGTTTCTCTTCTTATCAGCATTTTGAAAACATAAATTTGGGTTTTATTTTTTTCTTAAGCAGGAATTATCAATGCAAGTAGCCCTTCATTTAACTTGAAAAGAGAAATTAGCTGTTACAAAATTACAGCAGTTTTTAGCTTGTTCTTGTTGAAAAGCAGCTACATGAGATCCAAGCCTCATTTTGGAAGTAACAAAAGTACTTTTCAGTAACTTAATGTTTTGAGGCAACACATGGCTTTTCCTTTCTTTCTTGGGATAAAAACATACAGATGCACTCTTTGTCTCACCACAAATAACGATGGAAATAAAATCAGTTCATCAAATTTGATGTAATGAGAACTATTGTCATGATATAAAAATAATTTAAATAACAACAATGAAACTGCTTTTGCCCCAGTTTTAGTGAAATGTCTGTACAAGAGCCATCGCAGTGAAGTGAACCAAAACAACAGGGCTAACGGGAGGACAAATTCTTCCTGGTTAGTACTGGTCAATAAATAGCTCAGACCCACCACGTGGGCTGTAAAACATTTGTTACTTCCACATGAGAATAACTTACTGTGTGCAAAATGCCTGACTGGACTCATGCAGGAGAACAAACAGTGGCCAGGAAAAGAGTGCATGAGGTGCCCTTGACTCTGCATTGGTCTTGACTTGCATTCTCCTGGTTTCAAGTTGTGTTCTACTTCTGAGGTGCTCCAAGTCCATTAGTATCTGCCATGGCCAAGTAGCCTGACCCAGCAGTTTGGTGCACTGCACCACCAGTGTACACCTATTAGCACCATATGAGTGCACATGCATGCATGTACACAAGTAGATGCTAATCCCAATAGTGTTTTTAATTAAAAAGCATAAATTTGGCCTGCTAAATCTATTAACGATTTGTTTTAATTAGGAACCCAGCTGCTTCCTGAGATTTCAGTCTGGGTTTCAGAACTTTAACCGTACTGAAAATGAGTCTCAAGTGAGTTGCTTTGAGTCTTTCAGCTCAGCATTTTTACCAGCTTCTTGGAAAAGAGATGTTTCAAAAACTTTCCATGGTGTGCTTGTCATTCTTTCTCTGTCCTTGGCTCATACTGACACACAGAAGGCAAAAGCAGCCTTGGGATTTTAAGAAATGCATGAAGATGAGGATTCCTTACAGAATCATAGAATGACCTGGGTTGAAAAGGACCTCAAAGATCATCAAGTTCCAACCCCCCTGCTATGCGTAAGGTTGCTGACCACTAGACCAAGCTGCTCAGAGCCACATCCAGCCTGGCCTTGAATGCCTCCAGGGATGGTGCACAGGGATCCGCAACCTCTCTTGGGAACCTGTTCCAATGGAGAACAGTTGAAGTCCACTACTGGTCTTATTAATGTCATTCTTAGCGAGGCTCACATCTGATCAACTTACTGCCACTCAAACCATTCCTTCCCCAGCATAGAGAGTGCAGTTAATTAATCAGACTTCCTGGTAGGTAATATCATTGCTACTTTCTTTTGTCTGTATCTGTAAGTTAAATTCAGGACAAAGCCTCCCATCAGCTCAAAGAAGCTAGGCAGTAAATGTCAGCTTTTCTTCGCACAGTTATTTAATGAGATCACACACTAATGAACTTCAGGGCGTTCCAACACTCGCTCCTGCTATGTTTGTATTGCCACTGCTAGCCATTTGCTGAACTGACAAGGCACACTTTATGCTGGCAACAGTGAGTGTATGGTCACTTAAAGCAAGTCATCTTCCCAAACAGCCAAGTTCTCCCATCTTCATATAGGACTCATGATTTTTTTTCTTTTTCTCATTACAACCTAATGCTGGTTTAGTGGCTGACAGCCGTACAGCTACCTAAGACTCCAGCTCATGGAAAAGTTATGAGAGGAGAAAGCAAAGTTAAGGGAGGCAGCAATGCATGCCATCTCCTGAGCTGCTGGAGGAACAAAGAAGCTCTGGTTTCAACTGTGTACTGTTCCTCGCAGACAGATCCTTGCTTTGCTCCTGTTTGGAAGCCCAGGTTTTCTGAACATCACCTTGAGCAAAGAGAATTATCTGTCTGATTGGCCTCTTCCATCCAGCCAAAAGGTGAAAGCTGGGATAAGATATCTGTTTCAGCTTTGCATCTGCTACTCCAAAACTTGTTCAAATAGCTCAACTTGTGACCACGTTAGTTTATTTTATCAATCAAGCTTTGATGCACTGATAACAAACATATCAGCAAAACTCTTGGATGCACTCAGTAATAATAAACAGATAACTAAACTCTGTCTGAGTTTGTTGGAAAATGGGAAATGTTTACTCCATAACATATTGTTGATAAAGTATAAAAATAAATAGTGAAATATTTTCATATGTACCCTAAATATGACATCAAATAAAGCATTGTAGCCTGCTCAAGCAGGGGGGAGACTAATGAAAGAAGTTCCATGCCTATAATGAGTTCCTGCAGACCAAAAGCAGAGTGAATCCAAGGACTTCACAGAGATCCATTGATCAGATCTACAGGCACGGTTCTAAGATCCTTCTCATCCATTTTTCTTCCTGTCATGATACTCTGATGTGTTTTTCTCTACTCTTAAGGTCTTGACATTACATGAGGTGCTCAGGCTGCATTAAAGATCTCTAGTCTGTACCCTGTAAAAGAGAAGTTTGAAATATAAAAGTTGGGGAAAAACACAAATGTTTCTTCAGTAATTATTTTGATATTATAAACCTCAGTATATTAAAACCTGTCTTACACTTCTGGACAGAATATATGCCTTTATGAGTTTTATATACTTCAATATATACCATCATGTAACTCTGAATTCTGTACTTTTTTTTAAATAATTACTTAATTTTCTCAAATCCGACATAAAATTTTTCAAATACAGATTTCTTAAGATTTTTATTTGGCATTATAAACTCTTCACCAATTAATGGGAAGAACTCAGCAAGGACATGCTCCTTTTAACTGTCTTATCTTTAAATAATGGCATATTTTGAAGGCAAAAGAAGGAATGACTTGAACGATCCCACTGAATCTGAGTGACACATTGTCTTCAGACTTCAAAACAACGCCGATAGCCTTTGCTTCATAGGCCAATCTTAATTAGCTGGGTGGTTCGAGCTCTCACTCATTAGAACACTTAATGGCTTTCTTAGCTCCGTATGCACTGAACTCCCAGCTGCTCAACCCTGCTGTTTGCCAGTGCTGTGGCTGGGGAAACTCCGCACACCTGTGAACCTACAGCAGTGTTGAAACAGGACAGGGGAAAGCTGGGGGCTGGAAGAAGCATGGAACTAGCTCTTGGTTCCAACAGCTGTGTCCAAACCTCAGCAACAAAGCACTGAGTTATTGCATCCAGAAATTTAAAGCCTGGACAAGAAAAGTGGGAAGGGGATAGGTTTGTACAGAGAAAGCTTTCATGTATGCCAGCACTGATTATTTTTTATTTATTTATATGGATATATTTTGCAAAAGCATCAACACATACCTGTGGGTACCTAAGTTGTAAAATGCCTGCTGATTCAGGAGCACTTGCAGGGAGGGGCCCTTTGCATATTCGCTGCTGTGAGGCTGAGATTCCCTCCTGCTGATACTACCCTTTCCCCCTGCTCACAAAGGGCTGCTTTGCCACCCTGTATGAAGTCTTTGTTGGCTCGTTTACTAAATCTTCAGCCTGTCTGCTCACGGTTAAGTAGCCTCAACTAAGGTATGATCCTCCACCACGTGCTCTGTTTCCAGGGTTGACTCTTAAGTAGAAGAGTCCTTAAGCCTCAACAAGCAGATTGAAAACTCAGTAAACAAGCTCAAGAAGAGAAACTCAGCAAGTCCAAGTTTCCAGCTATATCGGAATGAAATGCGCTTTATAAATATATATTTAAAAGGAGGCTTTCAGTGACTTTGCAATGATTTACACTATGTATATGTTGTATCTTTTTAATTCTCTTACCGTCCTAGAACCCTTCCCAGTCAAAGGTGGGTTTATTTTAAGTAAAATTGTTACAAACCCATAATTAAATGTGGAAACCACTATGCAGAATTGCTCATTTTTCCTCTAAAAGAAAAAAAAATTATATATATATATATATAAAAGAAAGTTAAGTGGATTTTTGTTAAAAAAAAAGTTTCTGTAATCTATCAATATAAATGTTCTGGAGGTATATTGGATATAAACTTACATAATCTTGGGTATATTTAAAAGTTTCCATGGAAACCATTTCTTTGTCAAAAGAACAACATTGCTTTGGGTTATTTGTAACCCACACCTGGTCTCATCCAGCTCACGTATCAGGACCAGGAGGTGACTCTGTTGCTCACCAAGCAAACTGACTTGAGTGCTTTCAGTTTCTCACAGCCAGAACAGAAGGAGCACTGTCACATTCCTTCGTTATCCATAAATGGAAACAATAACAGTAAATCAGTGTAGACCCCCTGAAAACATCCAAATGCCAGCCTGCCTCCCTCTCCATGCAGGGACCATCCGGTTATGTTGCTTCTGTAAAAGGGAATGAGTGGGCAAGGTCCCAGGTCTCCTTAAGCAGAGATGATTATTCTGCGTGTTGCAGGCTTTCCCTCCAGAGTAAGCTGCTCTTGTAATAAATGCTGTTCCGACAGCAGTGTTGCAGTTTGCCAGGAACAGCTCCCAGTGTAGGGCAGCTGCATCTGCAAAGGCATCTTCAAAGTTGCAGTTCCAATTCTCGTGCCATTTGTCTTCCTTTTTACCCAGTTCTTCCAGGGGAAAGAAGAGTCCAGTCTGACCTTCCTCCCACCTCCAGAAACACTCCAATAACAGGAGCTGTAAACTGCAG